GGAATCAGTGTCTGTTACAGTTCTGAATGTTTCTTTGTATCCGCCTGCATGACGCATACTTCTTCAGAGAACAAGCGCGCATCAGTCGAGGTGTTCCTCAAGGCGGCCGGGCACCTGGAGTGCGCCATGCAGCATGTTCTTCCCAGGATGTCGCCCGAAAAGAGGTGGTGATCTTGCCACCTGCCCTAGCCAGCCCGGCATGATGAGCAATGCTCCAAGCTTCCATTTTTCTTCAGTTATTGTCCAGCAAGGACTGAGTACTGACTGCCATTTCGTGTAGGAAAGGTCTTCCCGTGGACCTGTCTGAAGGGGTCCTGAAAGCTACCTGCATGCAAGCACTCGGTCAGGTAACATAGCAACAGTGCTTTTGTTTTTCTTGTTATTATCTGATAGTAACTAACTAGAGTCAGAGAGGGATCACATGATTCATCATGCATGGTGCAAGTAAGATAGCATGCAGTTGAGATGTCGGCTTCTCGGTTAGTTCATCGATCATGCTATCTGTGTGTGTCTGTGCTTGTTTGCCAGGCAATTGATGTTCAACTTGGGTTGGCAATTGACAGTCCAAAGGCTACCCTGGCTGTCAAAAGGAGGCTGGCATGTGAGATGGTTAAGTGCTGGCAGCAGGTAGGCATCATCCATGATTCATTTCTACTGATTTCTTGTAATTTTGTACTTCCTCTGTAAACTAATATAAGAGCGTTTAGATAACTAAAGTAGTGATCTAAATGCTCTTATATTAGTTTACGGAGGGTGTATCTTCTATTCAGATAATGATATTTGTATATATGTCAGAGTTCTGCTTATGTTTGAAAATGCCAGCTATATGTACTGTTCATCTTCGCATGAAGCATAATATAATTTCATAAACATAGAAAATAAATATAATCTCTCCCAGTTTTAAAATATGTACAATCCTGATGGTTTCATCTGCAGGCACATGAAAGCATCGCGGACATACCTCTGCTCGACGGCTGGGGCGAAAAGCACAGGCTCTTTGTCAAGTGGAAGCACATGGAAGCAAAAGTACATATGCAGGCTTTGCTCATATCTCTGAACCCTGAAATGATAAAATGACTGAATTTTGGTCATTAAGCAAAAAAGTAATAATATGATGCAGGCTGCGGCATACTACTACCACGGGCTGATCCTCGACGAGGGCAACACCGAGAAGTCTCACCGGGCGGCTGTGGCAGCGCTGCAGTCCGCAGAGGAGTCCCTGAGGGAGAGCAGGGCCGTCTGCGAGGCCTTCCACACCGCATCCCCCTTTTCAAGGCAATCTACACATATTATCAAAAACAAAAATTGTCATTAATTTACCTAGCGACGTGAGATCGATGCTAGCTATCTGTATGTGTTTTTCATGTTGTTTCTGAATTTTGCTGCAGGAGCCCGACCCTATGGGGATCGATGAAGTACCTCCACGACAAGATCCACAAGGACTCCAACTGCAAGGTTCGCATCAACAAGGACCTCTACAGCAATGCTGACAGGACACACGAGACGGTGCCGGCGCTGCCGGATTTCGCGGTGGCCCTCCAGCCGGAGGAGTACCGGCTTCCTCGCACAGACGCTGCTTCTGCAAATGACTAGCTGCTAGCTGAAGCATGTCTGTATGCTGGCCCTTGATTCACCGGATCCTAATTAAGCAGCTTTACGTGTACCTTCCCGTCGATGGATGGATGATTAATTTGTGACTGAATCAGATGATGAACTGAACCGCACACTCTGGAAATGCCAGTCACAGAAAGGAATAACATTCTTGAGCTAGTTTCAGGAACCGAGATAGAATAATTACCATGTATTGTTCTTCTTCAAGGATGTAGCTGTCCATCTCCACATCTCTAACTAGTATCACAAACACCAGATCACTTGGAGATAGGCCCGACACTCCTGAAGATGCAGGGCACAAGACCATCAAACTAGTAGGAAAATGCCGCTGTAAATGTCACACCTACAATATGTATTGTGCAGTGAAGCAGCACAGAAAAACCGGCAATCAGATGTCCGGTGTACCATGACAAATAAGTTTTAGGATTCCAGGATCCCATTGTGTCGCAGTTTCATCTTCTGTCCATGAAATGCTCCAAGACCCCAACATTCTTTGCATCAGCGTTGACTGAAACCATACTTCCAGCATACCATTCTCTTGCAGCAAACGTGGTGGTACCTTGAGCTGCACCATCGAACCACTTGGAAAAATGCCATGCGAGCCTGAATCTTGGCAGAGTTACGACATCCAACGAGCGATCATTCTTTGCCTTATCTGAACAAAATTATGGACCTAACTAAAACTGGCTGCAGATTCTCTCGGCACGTCTGTCGGTGCTTGCTGAACTACTGAGTTACTGCTGCCCCCCCCCCCAAAGCACATCAAAGACATCAACCTAACATCGTACTGTATCCCGTTACTAGTGTTTGCACATTGCTCTGCTCCGATGGGATTACCATTTTGCCGTAAGAAACAGCTGGAACTCCGATGCCGTTATTGTAATAGGCTAGTAGCATCCACACATCAATAGATCTAGAAACAAGCAGGGAGAAACCTCCAACCGCGCTGGTGACGGTGAGCACCTCGGAGATGTCTACCTTGTCGGCCGACACGCCCGGCGTCCCATCGAGCGCGACAGTGGCCGAGGATTCGCTCCGCGTCGCTTCCCAGGCGAACCTAGGCAGCCGCATGACGGCATCATCGTGGCGGCATTTCGTCGAGCACATGCCGGGTGTGTCGGCGCGGGAAGCTCGACGACGTTCACGAGCCTCCGGGAATGCTGGGATGGCCGGAGCAGCGGCCCGTGAAAGCATGGAAGTGGCTCCAGCATCAGCAAGAGTTGCAGAGCGCTGGCAACCACTGAACCACAGCTCCGGCGTCGAATCCCTCCCAGGCCACCCGTCGTGTCCGCTTGCAGGCTGGAGCGCTAGCAGCCACGGCACGGCTGGTACCCTGGTGTGCCACGCCGCCAAGGAACCTCGGCCTGCCGTGCCATGGCCGCGCCTCCCTCCGGCGGCGGCGAGGCGGTCGCGTGTGTTTCGCCGGAGGAGTGGGAGCTGGGCCGGGCTGGCGCTGAGAGGACCTGAGCCGGGCTTGCTTCAGGCCCAGTCCACAACTGGATGGATATGCACACAGACACGTGCACTCCCGACCGACCGAGACCATCCCGCCCACCGCCAGTTTTGCTCGTTCCGATCTCCGTCCAGTCCACACGCCGGGCCGCCGGAGTAGAGTCCTCCGCCGCCGGCTCCCAAACTTGCGCTGGATTCTAGCTCGAGGCGAGTAGCACTGCTAGTTCGAGGTGTCACCGGCGTTGGCGGTGGAGCAGGGCACCTGAGACGGGGAGGGAGATGGAGGCGAAGCGCCGGCACGTTCCCGGCCACGACGGTCAGGTAAGAGCTATAGCCGCGTACCTTATATCCACTCCAACACCATGAACTACCCTTCTAATCGATCACTTTCTCACCGATCCTTTGCCCTTCTAATCGCAGGCGCAGCTGTAGGCATTCGCAGTTGATGATGGATCAGTAGTCGTTGGAGCAGTCGGAGAAGACAATGAGCCCCTTCACCTGCCGGAAGGACCTGTCTTGTTGCGGCTTCAGCTTCGCCACCCGAGCCGCCTCTGCCGCTGCCACCGCCGCCTTGCGCTCCGACTGCTCAATGGTAAGTCAAAGCGCTTTCGTGTTCTTCCTCTGTAGCCCGCGAGGGTCCGTCTTCGTCGTCATCAACGACCGGTGGTAGACCCAAGCGAGGAGATGCTTGGGCTCCGCTAGCAACCTGCTGCGGCGGCGGCGCACGGATTGCTCCGTCGCGTCCCTCTTCCTTGCCCGCTGCATCTCGTGGAGGGCGACGTGCACGTCCGGAGGGTGGAGTGGGAACTAGCACCCACCGTTGCCCTCACGGAGCAACGACCATCGTAGGAAGGGGACGTCGTGGGGGTAGAGCCGATTGCATAGCCCTTGCGAAGCTGCGCGCTAGCCGGGAGGTGCCAGCTTAGGCGTCCGTGATACGCCTGCGAGGGAGCAGGATAGATCTGGAGCTACCTCCCGTGTTCACCTTGGACCGCTCCAGCGCAATGCGGAGGGTCAGCTCCCCATCGATGTTGAGTTAGGAGCCGAAGCAGTTGCCGGAGCTTGGCATCCTTTCCAGAGTCGCCGGTTTCAATTCAAATCGAAGAGGGGACAGAGCGAAAGAGAAGAGTGAACTGAGCTTGGGTTCCGGATTGGTATTTTGTGTGGGAGCGGAGTAGGTTCGGTGATGGGCCGGGCTGACATGGCAGACGTGCCTACCCGTTTCATATCCACCCTACATTTGTACTGGATATGAGAGACCACGAATAGCTTGGATGTTTGAGACCAGTTTAAGACGCATGATTGGATTCGATTTCTTTTTACCGGTCCATTCGTCCAGCCGTTTGAGGCGCCCGGATGTAGACATTGCAAGAAAGAAAGAACTGCACCTGGAATTAACCATTCTGTCCGTTCGCACCCACGTCGCGACTTTACTTTGGTATACTTTACCTAGATGGATGGATGGATATATATATAGATATATCTCCACAGAAAAAGCAAAAGCACCACACAATCGCGCACGTACCATCTGCCGGAGTGAGAGTGAGAGTGAGAGCGAGATCACTGACCGATGACTCTGACACGCGCGCACGTTGCGGTGAGATGCCGGACGGACAAAGTACATGTGATGTGGGCGTTCATGGATGGAGTACTGGCTACAGTAGCTAGCTATGCTAGCTAGTCTAGCAAGCATGCATGGGAGGGAGGGAGGGACGGGACCCTGGCCATTCCATTTGTAGCCTTCCCCATGTTTCCATCTACCGACTGCAACCCATCACCGGATCACCCTCTCCTGCCTCGCATCTGC